ATCACTGAATAAATCACCTGTTTTCTTTAGGACATGGGATATCCTAGAAATACATCTGTCCCCAGACACCATGGAAAATGATACAATGCCTTCTGCAAATTCTGCAAATGGCCCATGACATGGAATCACTACCAGATCATTTCCTCTAGTGGTTAGATAAAAGGCTTTGTTTGCATGCCCCCAAGTCCCATAGCTAATCACCAGAAGTAGTTTAAAACAGATCCATTCAGTTCTGCTCTATAGTATTAACTGCTATCTTAGTGAATGGTGACGTGGAGAACAGGGATGCTCCAAACACTTTATTCCATCAGTGTGAGCTGTTAATCATTTATTATTTGCTGCTGACTATAAAAATAAATGAAGGAATTACATTTAGTGTTGTGACCCTCACACTGGGTTATGTGTCATTGTGTGCAAGCAGAATGTAAACTGGGAGGCGGTAGTGACTCAAGATTGCATCAGAAAGGGGGAAGTGTAGTGTGCAAAAGGTGAAGAAATTAGAATATGAACAGAGATGACTTCATTCCTTCAGTTATCTCTGATGGTGCTGGAACACTGACCTACAGCCTTCATCTCCCATTCTGTCTAGAAAGTAGGCAAGACATCATGTTGTGATTTCACGTTCCATGCAGGGAAGGGGAGAAAGCATTGGGGAAGACCCCTGAGGCTTGCTGACTAGTTAAATACTTTGTATTGGTTCTTTCTGCTGTTTATTGGGAAGGAAGGTCTCTGTTTACCAATACTACTGTGTGAGTTTGGCCACACTTAGCACTTCTTAAATTTCATTGATAGTGTTGCTGTTTAATATGGTATGTCACTTTTATACAAAGTTTATGTGTAAAAATGAATAAGAAATAAATGAGAATAAAGGTGAAATTTGGATTTGCAAGGCGTAAGTCTAATACATTCAATTTTCAGTGGGAAATGTATGGGAACAGGTTATTTTGCCCTTGATATGGATGATATTTGGGAGTGTTAGAATGCTTGTTAGAATCAGAAAACGCTTTAATGATTTTATGATGTGTCAGCTTGTCAGAACTGGAGTAAGTTTTGAATGGAAATAAGGAACAGGGGAAAATGGTATTTTGAATAGGCGAGAAATTTTAATTTAGAATACTGATAGAGGTTTAAGTAAAATTATAATGTTATTGTAGTATAGATATTACTTATATTTTATCAAGAACTATAATACTGTACCCTGTGGTAGCTGCACATATGAAGTAGTTGCTGTGAAAAAGACAGTTAAGAAATGGGTTTTAGGAGTTTTTCTAGTTTGGCACTTAGGTAAATTCTTACATAGCAGAGTTGTCAATGAAATAGAATGTTTTACTGACTTGGAAAGACAACTGTTCTATATCCTTTAAAAAGTATGAAATGTATAAAATAAAACATCAGCAGTGAAAAGCTGACAACTAAATGCTATGCAACTGTTTAGCCAATGATGAGGCAACTTGAATTGCTCACTAATGACTTGAGAGCCTGTGGTTTGTAAGGGAGTTGATCTTTTTGGTAATGTAAGAACAGATTTATCATTGTTGTGGACTGGAGACCAGGCCAAGTTGTAAGTCTTCGGCATTTCTGACTCTCTACGAAGAAAACTTTTTCTGTGTGTAAAGTATAAGCCACATTCCATGGTTTGTTTGTTTTTTTTTTTGTCCCTGAAAGAAATCAAATTATTCTAACAGAGGGAAAATTCCTTTATTCTTAAAAAGCATTAGATACTGTATATAATCAGTAGCTGATTAACACTTTTTTAAATCTTATCTTGTATCCAGGAACTGGAAGCAGAAAATGGAAATGAGGCTTGGTGTCATCTCCAATGACAACCAGTTCACAGGGAGACTAGCAGTTCTAGTGAGTGAGCTAAATGTAGATAAATATATATTGCTTGGGATCAGTGTAAATGTACTTACTTATACCTGATCTCTCTTCCCATTTTTTTTGCCACCAGCTTCAGCTGTTGACTTTGCAAACAAAGCAGGAGCTTGTACCTGGAAATGTTAGGAAATACAAGGACATATGATTAGCCATTGGATAGGACTTCAGGAAATGGATTTGTGGAATTAAGATTAATGATCCCTTATGGAATGGGGGAAATTGGGATTTAAGAAAAGATAAAGATAAATTAACAAGACAGTAGAGCATCTAATCCAGGTCAATAGGATGACTACAAATAATTGCCTCTTCAGTAACCGTAGCTGGCCACAACATACAGAAATCTAATGTTCTAATCACTGAAGTCCTGCATGATGAGAGAGTTAATTCATTCTGTCTCTTTAGAACTATTTCTTTTAAAATGATCACATATGGGCACATCTTGATATCATAACTGGAATCTTCCTGGTGGATCCACCTGTTATTTTGTCAGGGATATGTTAGCGTTGTGGCATGTAAAACAGAGCTGTGGCATACAGCAGTGTTTCTGGAAGAAGTGGTTGGTAAGAGGAAGCATTACCCCTAGTGTCTATGGGTATGGCTATTTAAAAGGTTTGGAATTTGTGAACAAGTATGTATCTGCACTGAATACAGTTGCCTGTAGAATCACTTTACCTTACACTCTACAAACATCTGTTTTACAGCAAGCATCAAAAAGGAACAAAACAATTTGACTCTGCCAAAGACTAACATGCAGAACATGGTCATAGTGCCATAATCAATCTCTTATGAAATTAACTGAATGAATAATTATTTTTAGTTGTTTCACTATAGTAACACAAATTTCAAAAGTACTGCAATGGAAGTTCTTTATATTTGCTGTGCTGTTTTTGTATAGGATATAATATTAATACTGTTACATATTTTATATATAATGACTTGAGGTTGTAAACTTCTTCCTGTCTTTCTCAGGAGTTCAGCTGTCTGTGATCTAAGATACAGCTGCATAACCCTCTTTCAGACTTGTGATTCTGAGAACTATGAAAAATTGATAGAGTGGACTTTTGCAAGTTAAAAGAGGTAAAACTGCAGACAGAGGTAAGACTCTTGAGGTGCAGCTAGGTAGCAGTTCAAGGATTCAAGAGGAAAGGAGGAATAAAATACTAAGGGAAAAGCAGGAATTTGCAAGGTGTCAGTTGAGTCACGCTGAGGACCCATTCGGGGGCAGTAAAAACCATCCCTACCCCACCTTGCTGAGAAAGCCCCAGCCAGCAAAAACTTTTTCTGTTTCTTATTCAGGGCACTGAGCATACTAACAATCTATGTAGTATTTTGTTAATTCAAGTTATCTTTTTTGTATGGTGACTAATCAGTACCTGCTGAATACTGTGAAATTGTGTATGTTCAGCTTACAAAGGCTCTTTGTGCATGAGAAAAAGGTGTCCAACACTAGTGATATAGTGAGGGAAAGATAAAAGTTAAGTAATTGTATGAGTTCCTTGGTTACTCATACTGTTAACAATGTTACCAGACAGATCGTTGGCTAGAAAAAACATCAGGAAAAAGAACTGGCTGTGTCTCTAATAATATATGCTGTATTGAACTTCAATAGAGAAAAATGTTTTCGCACCTGCACAAAAAGTCAAATTTTTTGTTGGTTTTCCATAATTTTTTGTATAGCAAATTAAATACAGTAAACTGAAATAATGAACACTTTTAAATCTCTAATATTCTATATCATATTCCTTTAAATTAATGTATCTGTTTTTTCCAGATCCAAAAGTCATGTGTTTTTCTAGATATTCTGAGGGCTAAAACGTCTGCTTATACTCTAAAAAGATAGATTTTTTTTTTAATCCTGCTTTAAATAGTTTAAGAAATCTTAGTAAATCTAAGACAAATGTAAATACCACTTCAGTTAAATTCATTTATAACAGTGTAAATGTAACTTAGTATAAGTTATAAGTGTAGTTAAGAATCCAGTTCTAAATGCAACTATACTGCAAGCAATGATTATGAAAAATAGTATCTTCTCACATACAAATGCATCATTGAATCATATTTAATAACTTCATGCTAAATAAACACCAAGAAAAGTGTTTTCTGTATATAGGAAACATCTCTCAAACTGAGCTGTAGATTTGTCTGGGTTTTCTGTTGTTAAGTATAAGCCAAAAAATTTTCAAGCTTCCAGCAGCAAGTCTGAGTTTGTAAATTCCTAATAGGAAGCTAGTGACATTAGTTTAGTTTGTGGTATTACCTCTTACTACAATAAACTATTAATATAAAACAGTTAATAGCTAATAAACAATTAACTACAAATGAAATCACCAGGTAATAAAAGTGGAGCTTTGTAAAATCTTTAAAATATTATATTCAGAGTACACTTTCTTTTTAAACACAAATAGGAGCTTGATGTTTACAATAACTTAATTTGGCCTCATGCTTGGTCCAGGACAAATAAGATGTAGCAATTCCTCTACATGGTGTCTTGTGGCTGAGCTATACAGCGTAGTTCAAGGAACACAAAATCATCAGTTTCTGAGTATATGATAATTCTCTTCATACAGGGCAATTCTCACTGATAAAAGGGTGGCTGAGTTGGCAATGTTGCATGAAGTAGTACAAAGTAATATTTTAGTAGTATTATACAAAGTAGTATTCTTTTCCAGCACTGATTAACAGGAAAGAGGCACCTGGTCTAGTGGAAGGTGTCCCTTCCCATACCAGGGACGGCTGGAACTAGATAATCTTTAAGGTCCTTTCCAACCCAAACCACTCTATGATTCTATGAAAATGGAACAAGAGTTCCCCATTTTTTGGTAAATCAGAGCTTGTTTACAGTTTTTCTAACCTATGCTAGGGCTAAATGTCATTGAGGAATCATTACAGGATTGCTGGGACCCTCCACCATTTTGCCTACCTCAAGCTTATCGGAAAATCCAACTCTCCATCTTTAAAGGAAATAAAACATATCTAGTTTACTATATACATTGAAATAACAGTTAAGAAGTTCAAGTAATTCTTTTAAATGTTTTAAATTGTTGTTATTTTCATTGAAAATAAGGTACTGCCTGCAGATACTGATAAAAACAATACATTCCACAATAAAATAAATAGTCCACTCAGGCTAGATGGCTCATGTTTCTCTGGATTAGAATTAGAAGAGGGGAAAAGAAGCAAAAGAGTAAAACACTCCTTTTGTATTACTTGGTTTCATTCTCACTATGGTTTAATCCTTAAGTGTAACAGTTACTTGGAGCATTCAGCACCATCTCTAATAAGTAAATAGAAATTTCTGGAAGTTTTGAGGGGCATAATTAAGCCAACAGTAGATAAAAGGAACTTTTTCTGGGGAAAGAATAGACTATTCAGGCTTATTTTCCCAGGAGACAATGAAATAAGCTTGAATTTAAGGACTTTGTTTGCTAAATATTCCCTTTAGAAAATATTTAGCAGAGTCCAAAGTGCACACACTTACTTTCCAAAGAAGGCAAGGCAACGGGAGTGGGGAAAAAAACAAGAGACAGCTATCGATCATCTCTTTTTTATATGAGAAGAGCAAGGTCCAATCATGCTGCATGTCCTTAACCATATTAATTCTGCTGATGTTTGAATACTTTTTCAGAGGACTAGACGCAATCCAAGAGCAACATTCAAGGTATGTCAATATTTATTTTTTTTTAAATATGAGATATTTTATAAAATTAACTCATAACTAGATTTCAGAAAATTCCAGATAACTGCACTTTCTTTTACATAAACATCTACTTTCCCATTTATCTTGTATATCTGTGTGGAACTGAAGAAAAGATAATGCTTATATAATTCAAATGAAATCAAATGAAGAACACACAGTGATCAAATTGATACAATTCCAAATATCTGGACCTGTTTCAACATGTTTATACTTTCCCATTCAGAGAATTCACTTGCAGTGTATGACATTAATAACTTTATTGAATTTAATAAGTATCTATATTTTTCTTTCAAACAAATAGTCATTGAGATTACTGTCCTTAGTTTAACAGTTGTATATTTCTCGGTGAAATACTATTTTACAGGGAGCTATCTTAAATAAATTTAAAATGCATTCTGAAGATGGAAACAAGAAGAAGCGTACTATACATGGAAATAGTTATGATATCACTGTACCTAGCCAGGGTCATAAATCTGAAGACAAACAGTAAGTATTCTTAAAGATCGAAAACATTTTCTATATTGAAGCTTATAAGATAGATTGATTATATTATTTTAGATTTTATTTCATATTTAGTTTAATTTATTTTATCAGGAAACTTTGACAACAGAAAGCTTTGTAACAACCTGAGAGTAGCATTGATACATTAACTGTTGAAGGAGGATCTTTATAATTTTCGTTTAAGAACTAAGTGTCCACAGCATTGACTAGAGTTTATTGAAAAATAGTTTTAAAATATGACACAAATTATGTTGGAATTGACACCTTGAATACAGTTACATCATCAGCTAAAAGTTATCTTGAAATTTTTAGTATGGCTTGGAATCGATATTTTACATACCTTGAACATTTTATGTATTCCCCATCCACCATGATTTTATAAGTTATCTTCCTTTTTTCCAATTTGAAAGCTATATACTGCTTCAGTTTGCAATTTTCCTGATCAGATTGTGGAACCACCAGCCCAAGGGTGTTGTTTCATCTTTGAGAGCAGTGAACTGGGAAGAGCTTCACATTTCATATACAAATGTTTCCTGTAAAATTATTTCAGAGTTATATTCTAATTGAACTTTATTAATATAGAGAATTAGTATTTCTGTGAAATGTTGCTTTTTAAATGCACTAAAACTATCATACTTTTTAAGAAAGAAGAAAGCAGAAAAGGCTAAGGTGGTCAGCCCATTTGCACTGGTAAGATTTATTCTCTCTTTATATGTGTACATGCACATGCATTTCAGTGTGTAAACAAAGTGGTTAAAATTATATTGCAGTAATGCACATATGGTCTCTGTCAAATACTTTGATAATACAGAATATTGCATATAGTATAGCCATCAAACAGTTCTTTTTCTGGATGTAGTTTTCAGCAGGCCAAGGAGGTGATTCTCCCTCTCTACTCCACTCTTGTGAGAACCCACCTGGAATACTGCATCCAGCTCTGGGTTTTCCAACACAAGAAGGAGGTGGTGCTGTTGGAGTGAGTCCAGAGAAGGGCCGTGAAGATGATCAGAGGATTGGAGCGTCTCTCAATGAAAGACAGGCTGAGACAGTTGGGGTTGTTCAGCCTGGAGAAGAGAAGGCTCTGTGGAGACCTTAGAGCAGCAGCCTTCCAGTGCCTAAAGGGTGCCTACAAGAAATCTGGAGAGGGACTGTTTACAATGGCATGTATTGATAGGACAAGGGGGAATGGCTTTAAACTGAAAGAGGGGAGATTTAGGTTAGGTAAAAGGAAGAAATTCTTTACTGTGAGGGTGCTGAGGCACTGGTACAGGTTGCCCAGAGAAGCTGTGTCTGCCCCATCCCTGGAAGTGTTCCAGACCACGCTGGATGATTCTTTGACCAACCTGGTCTAGTAGAAGGTGTTCCTGCCTATGGCAGCAGAGTTGGAACTAGATGATCTTTGAGGTCTCTTCTAACCCAAACCGTTCTGTGATTCTATAGTTCTATGAGTCTCTGATTAAAGAAGCTGTCTTGTTACTGATATGGATTTTTAGGAGTCTTCCCTTACTAAGTTATTCTTCCCTTACTAAGTTATCATGCTAAACACACCCATACTAGATTTTTGTGAAAGGTAGGGGTTTCCATGTTCAGTCATTAATTCCAACACCATGAAAAGGGTGTCCATATACCTAATATTATATGTGGTCTTGTCCTCTAAATCACCTGAATTGGATACTAATCACACTAATTAACCCAATTAATCATTATTCAGTCACCTGGGTCAGTAGTAAAGGGCAACTCCATGGCACTGAGGACACTTAAAATAAAAAATTGTGTACTAAAAAGTACTTACAATTCCTGATATTTTTTATTTTCAGTATATTTTTGAAAAGGCAATCTGTTAATATTTAATCAAAGTAAATCTTAGGTCCTCTTTTAGTAATACTGAAATGTTTTGTATTTGGTAGGTTTAATGTGCATAATGCACAGTAATGACATGTCAAATAACAGAAATGAAACTATGGTCCATGATGCTGGCCAGTGCACAATTTCTCTGCTTTGCTATACCAGCTTGCACTTGAACAATTATATCATACCCCTATAATTTACAGCAGTAAACTTAGTATTTAACACTAAAAATTAAAGGCAGTGATTTTGTAACGGATGTGCTGAAACTTTAAATTCAATGGCAAGAGGTATTTATGATTTCAGTACATTTTGTTAATATCTCTGGTACATTAGGCACAGTATTTCTGACTGCATAATAATGAATTTACAGTAAAAGTAATTATTGCCTTAATTGTCACAATGACATTAAAATTTCTTATAAATTAAATAGTAAATGGCAAACTTTTAAAGGGCGAATTTCTTATGCCTTACTTTCATATAGCCTTTCTTACCTAGGTGCAGATACTAATGCATTGAAATAGTATACTTCTCTGGATTTGACAGTTTATAGTATTAAAGTGTTTACATTAGATGGATTTATTCCTGTACCTTTAAACATTTTTTTTGTAAGTTTAATTCCGATTAAGACAAAGTTGTAGTTTTGTGACACTAGGTGCACAACTGATAGCTTTTTCTTGACTTTGTAGACATAACATTGTGTTGGCATTCTAATAACCATGATTAGAATTAATTTCTCTTCTCACTCACAGTTTAGATACTCCAGTTGGTCAGATAAATTACTAATGATACTAGGCACTCTCTTGGCAATAGCCCATGGAACCAGTCTCCCTGTTGCGATGGTAATTTTTGGTGATATGACTGATAGCTTTGTTGCTTCTGGAGACTCAGATTTTCCAGGTAAGAATATATCTGCTATGAAGAGAACAATAGCTCGTACCTGGGAAAGAGCTAGGGAGAGAGCTAGGGAGATTCAAGCCTCTTGACAGAACATACTGATGTCAGAAACCCCAGCTTGCTACTGCTCTCTAATGTAAATTAGTAACTCTTGTGTTTGTTGTAATAGAGATACCACTATGGATTTTCTTTTTTCTCTGTATTTTTAGTTCATGCATTAGTATTTTTTATTTTTAATTTTTTAAAATGACCCACTACAGTGTACCTTCAACAAATCATGTTTGACTGTGGCTGTGGTAAATAGAGAGAGGCTGGTTTTCCACTTCCTCAGCATGAGTTCCTGTTGATTCCCTTGTATTGAATCTGACAGTTATAGTTCTCAAGGTGAATCAGATCAGTAAGTAAATCCAATAGAAAATTCTCTACCGAAAATGAAAGTATTAATTTTTAGCTTGGATCAGTTTGTTGAACAGCCTATCATAAGTATCAAATCAAACACAAAGTAGGGGAGTCATGTGCTGCAGGATACAAAAGGGAGGAGTGATACTGTCACTTTGGTATCAACAAACAGTTAAACCAAATTACATTGTTCTCTGAACTCACACATTAGATGTTAAACTAGTAAACAGCTTTGCTGCCTGAAATATTACCCAATAACATTTTCTTAAACATTTTAATAAAAGCCTATGGTGATACAGAAAAAGATAAAGGATGTGACTATCTTCTACCCTGCATCCATTTTTGCTGTTCTTAAGCTGCTGTGAGAAACCTGGGCATTCTGCCTTTATCAGAACAAAGAATTCATGATTTTCTCCTTCCCAAGTACAATAAATTGATCAGATTTTTAATGGTGCAAATGCAAAATGCTGCAGCTGTGGTCTTCTCAAAACTTTTATCACTAAGTTCTTGTGGGGGGCATTATAATTTTAGGGCCAACACCAACATTATAGCCACTGTTTTCATAATGGGTTAAGCTATCTGCAGGTACTAATTTGATGTCATTATCTAGGTATTTTTAATGAGTTTTTGCATTATACAAATGCCCTATATTTAAAAAAAACAATAAACCAACCCAGACTGAGGCTTCCTGAGGCTAATTTTTAATCTCAAGTTACAATGATGTAGCTTAGTCAGTGGAGATATGGCAAACCTTATGTTAGTAAGGTTCATTCATTTTCATTATTTTTTTTAAATCATCTTGGTTCAAAAGGAGATGTAACAACTAAAATTTGCTGAACAGCATGCAGGAAAGCAAATTTGTTGAAACTTGCTAAATGAAATGTATTTACGTTTTTCTTCCTTTCTAAGGAAACAGCACTGTGATGAATTCCTCTTTAGATGCTCTTAACAAGCTGGAAGAAGATATGACTAGGTAATTCAAAATTGGTATTTCTTCCTTTTTTAGTGTAGTCAAGCTATTCTTCTCCCACAGATGTTTTGCATGCTTTTGCATCAAAGTAATGGTTGATTGAATATTGTATGTAACTAAGGATTTGCACATGAGGTAATTGGAGACACTTGGTGGATTCTTGAACATCCACAGCCATTCCCAGCAACTTTCCTGTAATCTGTTGCTTTCACCCATCCCACCCCTTTTTCAGGGGCACTTTGGGTCCCAATGTGTTTGTATTCTCTTCTTCCTTTATTTCCCTGTGAATTTATAGAAAGTTATTGTTATGCTAAAAATTATATTGATTATCATCCATCAATTCCTTGAGCTGATAAAAAGTTGAACTCGTAGAGCAGTCAGTTCCTGAAGGACTGATCTCATGTAGAGGACCCACACTGGAGCAGTTCGTCAAGAACTGTAGCCTGTGGGAAGGACTCATGTTGGAGAAGTTCATGGGGAGCTGTCTCCTGTGGGAGGTATTTGGGTTTTTTTCTCATTATTCTGCTCTGGTTTGATGGTAATAAATTAAATTCATTTTTTCTGTAGTCAAGTCTGCTTTGCCGATGACATAATTGGTGAATGGTCTCTCCCTGTCCTTATCTCAACCCACAAGCTTTTTAGTATATTTTTCTCTTGCCTGTCCAGCTGAGGAAGGGGAGTTATAGAGTGGCTTTGGTGGGCAGATGGCATCCAACCAAGGTCAACCTACACGCCACCTTGTCTTTTAGACATTAAATCTGATAGTACAAGTATGAATAAAAAGTAGGCCGAGTTTCTCTTTAGAAACAAATTGTTGAATAAGGAATGAAGCACAGGAATAAGTTCTCTTTTCTAAAGTTTCTACACAGAACCT